ATTGATCAAGGGGCCATTGCTTCACTTATGATTTCTCTTAAATTCTCATCCTTTTTCTCTGGAACCCCTTGAAATCTCCAGACATAAAAAGATCTTTCCACTTGTAATTGTAGTACTTGTTGTTTTTCAGAAGCTCTTTCTTCTTCTGCAATGTCCATTCTTTGATCTATTTCTTTGGTCTTAGTTTCAACCTTTTTTATCTGTTTAGCTGACTTCTCTATTTTGGCTGTAGTTTCCTTAAGCTCTTTCTGTAAGATATCAAATTTCTAATTGAGGTTCGTCAGCTGGTCCAGCAGAGGGCGCATGGCTTCCAAAATTGCAGTAGCTATCTCGCTGGTATTTTCCGGTCTTGTGACTAGTGATGCTGTGTTGGCATTTCCTGCAGAACCTCTGCCTCTGGACGCCATTTCCCCCTCCCCACTGAGACATTGTTTATATTTTGGTAAGAGTTCGTAAAAGTTCTAAGATTTTTCTATGGCGTAGATAATTAGTCCAGATGTATTCCTCTTTAAATAGGGTGGGTTTTTAATAGCTTAAGCCTGGCATGCTTCTTGTTTACGCTGAAGTTTCACTGCGGGGTAGGGTTCTTCCTCCTCAAGTCCCCCCCTTCTCTATGGAGCTATGCCGTTTCACAATATCAGTATTTTTCCTCCACCCTCTTTGCATATGTCTTTCTTTTTGAAACTTAACTCACTGTTTCTTTAATAGCTGGGTCGCTTCGCCACGTAGATAAGTTTTTTTATTCAAGTCCTTGTATGCTCTAGTCTGGTAATGTCTGAGCGCCATTGCTGGCCTCGGGACAGCGGGACCTTCTGGAGCAAAAAGGAGCTCAATTCCCCAAGCTGGAACTTCAGGAGCGGCCCCTTCAGCGCTCCAGGCTAGAAGCTCCCTCCAAGAGCTTCATGGGGAGGTCAGGACCGGCCGATCCCCCTCCCTGCCACCCCGATCTGAATCACCCCCATCAGAGCTCAATGGAGTGTGTTCGTCGCGAGTCGCCGCCAACCGGAAGTCTCTGTTATTTAGTGTGATTCTAAAAGGAAGGGTGGATGCTCAATCTATCCCTGTGCAATGGGTGCTTTCATATGAACCACTGGGACATGCATTTCTTTTTTGTTGCCAAAGTCATAGCACACTGAGTAAAACTTTATCAAACCTTTCAAAATCCAAGCACAGCAATTTTATTTATTTATTTTTATTTACATCATTTATATCCTGCTGTTAAGAACATAAGAAGAATCCTGCTGGATCAAACCAATGGTCTATCTACAGCATCCTGTCTCACACAGTGGCCAACCAGTTCCTCTGGACGGCCAACAACAGAGCATTGAGGCCAAGGCCTTCCCCGATGTTGCCTCCTGGCTCTGGGATTCAGAGGCTTAGTGCCTCTAAATGTGGAGGTTCCCTCCAAAGGGGACCCAGAGCAGCTTATATTGTTCTTCTCTCCATTTAATCCTCACAAGAACCTTATGAGGTAGATTAGGCTAAATGTGTGTGTTGGGCCCAAGGATATCCAGCAAGCTTCCATAACAGAGTGTGGATTTGAACCTCAGTCTCCCAGATCATAGTCCAGTACTCTAACCACTATACCACACTGGCTAGTTTGTGGAAGCACTGAAATTTATGTGGTTTTGGGGTCATACATGTGGCTGTATGAGTATTGATGATTTGTTATGCTTCATCTGACACAAAGGTCATATGTTGTGGTTTGTGCTATTAATAACATCACAATCCTTGAGCACCTTGCCAGAAGCAGAGCTGACCCAGCTGAGCTCTGAGAAGTAGCAGAGCTGCTAGAGGGGTGAGTGTTTTTTATTTACTTTCAGCTGAGGTGATTTAGCTGAGAGGGTACTGTGTGTGGGTGAGTTGTGAGTTGTTGCAGAGTCCTGGCTGCTTGAGATAGTGTGTGAAAGGGTCATTGTTGGACTGTAATTGAGTGTCTGGGTGAATTTAAATAGCTGCTGGCCACACCCTCTGCTGGGGGAAGCTTCTGTTTAAGGCAGGAAGCTTCTATTTAAGGCAGCACCTTGCCAGAAGCAGAGCTGACCCAGTTGAGCTCTGAGAAGCAGCAGGAGATAGAACTGCTAGAGGGGTGAGTGTTTTTAATTTACTTTCAGCTGAGGTGACTTAGCCAAGAGGGTACTGTGTGGGGGGACTGTGTTTGGGAGTGTGTGGGTGAGTTGTGAGTGAGTTGTGAGTTGTTGCAGAGTCCTGGCTGCTTGAGATAGGTTGTGAAAGGGTCATTGTTGGACTGTAATTGAGTGCCTGGGTGAATTTGAATAGCTGCTGGCCACACCCTCTGCTGGGGGAAGCTTCTATTTAAGGCAGCACCTTGCCAGAGGTACGAGCTGAAGGGTGAGAGCCAAAGGGCTTTTGGCCTGTGGCTCTTAGCCTAGGGACTCTGTAAGAAGCCCAGGAAGAGCCAGAAAGCCAGGGCCCTAGTCTCCTTGGGTTTCCAGTAAGGTAAGTAGACTTCTACAAGGAGAACCACATAAACACAAAGGGTTTTAAAAGGGGGATTATATATAATTATTATTATTATTTTAAAAGCAATTATGGGGGCATGGCGTCGGAGCTGACTGCAATGGACGCCTGAGCACTTAGCTCCCGAGAACCTTCACCCTAATTCATGTCTAAGTCAACCTACCCTAAACTAGCATGACTCCAAACAGCCTAAAAGTTATGGGGAGAAACTCTGGACCGAAAACCAGAAGCGCCGCATCTGTGAGTAAAGGGGTCTCCTCATATTTTATGAAAGCAGTAAAATCCGGGCCTGCCGGAGGCGCCGCCACTACAACCCATAAAATGGCGGCAGACCAAGCAGATCAGCAGCCGAATGGACTCATGGTTCCCCGGCAATAATTTCATGACTCCTTGCAATCTCTGGAGAAAAATATGTCTGCCACGATTGCAGAGCTATTAAAGCCGCTGACTTCACAGCTAAATGAACTTAAACAATCCGTGGCACAAATAGCACAAACTGCTGATTCAGCGATGGAATCCAGTTTAACTCTCCAAGAAGACGCTTGTTATTTTTATAAAAAAGATGAATGGGCCATGGACAAAATTATTTCTCTGGAAAATCAATTAAAAGCCAACAACCTTAAATTTAGAGGGATCACTGAGGATACAGAAAAAAACAACAGAGCTAAAAATATTCATTACGTCCTGGCTGGTGGGAATCCTAGAACTAGAAGCGGGAGTTGCTCCCTTGATAGACTTCGCCTACAGAGTGGGCTCATTACGCACACGCCAGAACAATGTACCCAGAGACGTTATAGTGAGATTTATGGATTCTCGTACTAAAATTAAAATACTCACCATGGCCAGACTAACCGGCTTTTTGCACCTGCATGACACCAAGATACAGATTCTACAGGACTTATCCATGAAAACTTTGCAATGTCGGAAAGCTTCGAAGCCAATAACCACAGTTTTAATCAATGCAAAGATCCGCTACAAATGGATTGCATATTATAAACTCCAAGTTCTTCATAATGGCACTGTACTCCAAGCTTTGGACCAAGAATCGGGCGTAAAACTTCTTCAAGATATACACCTCCAGCTTCCTCCAGACTTTCCCTCAGATGACGCACCCCAGCAGCATGACACGACAACAACCCGTTGGCAAACAACTCGAGCAAGAAGGGAGCGCAAGACCAGAAATACATGAAACAGGACTCATTAGAGCCAAGAGTTGTTTGTCATATTAGATTGTTATCATTCTCAATATTTTACACTGACTGTCTATGCCTGTTTTCCTGCAAACTACATTTAGTTTACTAGAGAACTCTCAAATGTAATTTTTCTATGATACTTAATGGAGTGTTTTAATTCAGTTTAAAGCTGGTTAGGTTGACTTATAGAAATTCTAGCATCAATCATTTAGTAATTAGCTCTAAGTTTTTGTTTACTAAAATCATTTTTTGGGGAAGGAAACTAAAGGGGGGCAGAAGTCTAGTCCTCTGTTAGCTTTTATTACCTTCTCACAACTGTTTAATTCATGTTTCAGTCCTTGATGGGAAAGGACTACAGAGCCCATGAGTTGGCTCTGGGTTGGTTTAGTTATAAGTTACTGGTTACTATTTTTATCTCTATAGGCAATGCTATTAAGTATTCAAGTTCAACATTATGTATTTCAGTACCTCACTCTACGCACTTATTTCTGATGGTAAATGTCTTTTATTCTCTGTCATTATGGTATTTCACATGTTTTAGCATAATAGCAGGCTTTATGCTTATAATACTACTGATTTCCAGGTTGTACGAAATCATATATGAAAAGCATTTAGTTTTTGGTCTAAGTGATCTCTAACACAGAGATAAAATTCCTCTCACTAAATTGTAGAGGCCTGAACTCACCTATTAAGAGGAGAAAGGTCACATCAGCTATTTTGAGACAAAACCCTGCTGTAACTTTTTTACAAGAAACTCATCTTAAAGGGAACATAGAATCTGTCCTCCCTTCCTATAGATTCTCACAACAGTTTCAAGCACAAGGGTCTTCTAAATTGCGTGGCGTAGCGATATTAATCAGCAAAAACGTGAGATTCCAATCAGACAAAATTGAACAAGACCCCAATGGCCGATATATTTTTTTGAACGGTACATTAAATGGCTCACCCATCACCCTTGTTTCTCTACATATGCCCAATGAAGGTCAAATTGAATTTATCAAAAACACTCTTCATAAGCTTGAGACCTTTAGCACTGATCCCTGTGTAATAGGAGGTGATTTTAACTACATTATTAATTATAATCTAGACAAACCTAGTTTGAACACTACTATCAAATGAAAGAAAAAACTAGCCTCAATTCTAAATCATGTCAGTCTTATTGATATTGGCGCATGAGGAACCCAACAGTAAAAGACTTCACTTATTTTTCCTCCAGATTCCAAACACATACAAGAATTGACTTTATTCTAGCATCCTTAATCATCTCCAACTCCTTTACAGATGCACAAATAGGTGCTAGCATATGTTCGGATCACTCCTGGACGGAAACCACGATGGAAACTGGAGAGAACACAACAAGCAACTACACATGGAGGTTAGACTCAAAACTTTTATTTTAAAAATCAGTTACAGACTCAATAGAAACTGAAATCAAAGAATATCTTCAACACGACTCAACATGTGGTGTATCCCAGCATTTAGATGCCCTAAAAGCAGTTGTTCGTGGTAAATTCATGGCCATTGCATCTACCTACAGAAAAGAGAAAAACAAATTAAAACAAGAAATGATTAGTAGAATTAAAGAATTGGAAGACGAATGTAGACTTTACGGTAGAAAATGCATATACAAAAAAGTTATTGCTGGAAAGGAAAAAGCTAGAATCTATAGAAGTATCCCAAATACAAAAAAGAATAGCTTATGTCAAACAAAAATACTGGTTCAAAACAGCACAATCAATTAAATTGTTATCTTGGAAATTTAAGAAAAGAATATCAGAAAATGCCATTCATGCAATCAGAAACAAGAATGGTCAATTGAAGCATAATAATAAAGACATTTCTGAAATCTTCCAGACTACTACAAATCTTTATATAAATCTGACTCTCCATCTTTAAAAGCCATAAATGGATTTTTGTCAAAATATCCTCTCCCTAAAAATATATCACCTCAGCATAAACAATGGCTAGAGGAACCTATCTCAACACAAGAAATCCAAGCAGTAATCAAATCACTCAAATATAATAAATCCCCTCATAGGGATGGATTTACTGCGGAATTCTATAAAAAATTCAGTTTCTTACTAGCAGGCCCTGTAGTGCAGACTTGCAATCAAGTGTTGGAAGAAGGAATTGTGCCCCAAGCAAAAATAGTGCTCATACCTAAGCCAGATAGAGATTTGACGGTGGCTAGTTCCTACAGACCTATTTCCTTATTGAACCAGGACTATAAGATATGCACAGCAACAATGGCATCCCGACTCAATCATATAATTGAATTTTATATCAACATAGACCAAACTGGGTTCATCCCTCACAGGGAAATCACCGACAATACATAAAAAGTATTAAATGCTATCCAATACTGCCAAAAACATTGCATTCAGTCCTCATTTATTTTGTCAGTTGATTTTGAAAAAGCTTTTGACGGGGTTGAAACTCTTTATTTGAATTCTCTTTTAACAAATGAACTTTGGACTCAAATGTTTAAGCCTGATTAAAGCCATCTACCACTCACCATCGGCCTGTATTCAAACAAATGGAACCTGTTCAGAAGACTTTAACTTATCTAGAGGCACCTGTCAAGGTTGCCCAATCTCACCACTGGTGTTCACAATAGCCATTGAGCTGTTAGCACACACAATCCGTTCCAACCAGCAAATTCATAGCTTTTTATTAGAAAACCACCATTTGAAACTTAGTCTTTTCGCGGACTATTTGAGACTATTTTTAACACAACCAGAAAATCCTTGCCAGAATTACACTGCTACATTCTTTTGGAGACATAGCAGGCTTAATGATTAACCGCTCTAAGACCATCCTCTATCCTACCCATTTGTTTTATTTAGTTATTTAATTTATTTATTTATCTTTGGATTTATATCCCACCCTACCCCGAAGGCTCAGGGCGGCTAACAAGAGGCAGACAATTGTCAGACGATCACAGAGAGTACATCAAGCAAAACTACAATTTCAGTTGGGTAAAGTGTTGCTGGAAATTCCTGGGGATTCTTATTCCCCTCCATATATCTGATTTGCTTAAATACAATCATATAGCACTTGCAAAAACATTAGAAGACTTACCTAAATCTACTTCATCACCTCTCCTGTCTTGGATAGACAAAATACAAGTCATAAAGTCTTTCATATTCCCCAGATTTTTATATCTCTTCAGAGCCATTCCTATCACAATTCCATATTCATCACTAAAATGCTGGCAGACAAGCATCTTGAAATATGTGTGGAACAAATCATTACATAGAATCAGTTTTGCAACGCTACGAAGACTACCTAAAAATGGTGGCTTGTCCTTACCAGACCTCTCCTTATATTATGAAGCCTCCACTTTATTAGGAATCATAAAGTAGTATAGCAAAAATTACAATGCTGATTAGAAATGGATGGAACTTTCCTATTTAAACTCGATCATTCCAGGAGATTCTCTGGGATATACCTACCAAGAGACCAACAAACTTACATGACAACATATTTTTACATAACTCATTGAAAGTATGGGACAAATTGAAATTAGTATTACCTCTTCATCCTTCTCTACTTACCATCTTCATAGGCCAATCATGGTTTGGTCCTGGCCACCTAAATACTTCTTTCAAAGTCTGGAGAGACAATAATATTATATGCTTCAAATATATAAGTAAAAATTCTGTCCTCCTTGACAAATCTGAAATAGAACATAAACAGAACTGTACAATCAACTGGTTTGAATATCTACAAACAAGAAATATATAAAAGTCTACTTTTACAACTGAAGAAACCAGGCCATTTACTCTTGTTTAAAAAATTCTCTAAAAGGATGTTAAATCATGCAAAGGTATGATCTCAATCCTCTACAAGGAACTATTATCCCACTCCTCTGAAGTTCCAACAACATACCAAGTCGCATGGAATTCAGACTGCTCAATATCATTAGCTGACCCTATTTGGCTTAAAATTTGGTCATCACTCAGTTTGTCATCCTGATCTTTAAACATAAGAACCCAAGATCTCAAATTGATATTAAGATGGTATCATACATAGGCGTAATCTTCGTGGGGGCGGTGGGGCGTCAGCCCCCGCCGAAATTTTCAGGAAGGTGCTCAGCTTCCCCCGGGAGCCACCCTTGCTCCTAGCAAAGCAATGCCTCTGACCCAGCCCCAGCCCCCCCTCCCAAGAAATTGGAAAGTCTACACCCTTGGTACCATACATCTGTTAAATTACATCATATCAATAAGAAATACTCACCTTTATGAGTATTTCTACTCCAAGGTAGCCTTCTCAGAAGTGCTATCTGTTCCATGCACAGTGCCAGAGAGACAGGCACAGATCAGGAGTCTCAATGTGTGGATGAGACGATGGTGTAGGGGAAAAGAGTTCAAATTTGTTAGGCACTGGGATGCTTTTTGGAACAAGAGGGAGCTGTACAAAAGAGACGGTGTCCACTTGTCCCGAGAAGGAACCAGGCTGCTGGCGCTTAGAATCAAAAAGGTGGCAGAGCAGTTTTTAAATTGAATATTGGGGGAAAGCCGACAGGAGATTAAAAGTCTCTGGTTCGGGATGGCTCATCTCAAAGAGATGATGGGGTAGCTGTTACTTTTCTACAAGGAAATGGATTAGAATTGTCCACTGAGACTGTGGCTAATGATATGGACTGCCTGGCAAGGTCCTGAGGCAGCAAGAGGAAGGTTGTGGGCTTAACATGCATGGGAAACTATAGATGTTTATTTACAAATGCTAGAAGTGTCTGGGGTAAGATTGGGGAATTGGAATGCTTGGTGTTGGGGGGGGGGAATAGCCATTGTGGGTATTTCAGAAGCTTGGTGGGATGAGGAAAATCAGTGGTATACGGTGATTCCTGGTTATATATTATATCAGAAGGATGGGGGGAAAGGTTGGAGGTGCAGTGGCTCTGTATGTCAGAGAGGGTATACAGTCCAGTAAGATTGAAGGGATAAGAGAATTGGATTGACTACTGGAAAAGCTATGGGTTGAAATAGTGGGCCGAAAAGGAAACTTAACACTGGGATTTTGTTATTGCCCACCAGTTCAAAAGACAGAGGAGGATTATAAAATGATGAATGAATTTATGATAGTGGCTAGATGGAATAACTGTGTCATAATAGGTGATTTTAACTACCAACACATTGATTGGGTCAATATGTGTTCAAGTTGGGAAAAAGAGTTTCTAGACACTCTCAATGACTGTGCTATGGAACAGATGGTCATAGAACCTACCAGGGGAGAGGCAATCCTGGATTTGGTCCTAAGTAACGCCCAAGACCTGGTGAGAGATGTAAAAGTGATTGCACTGCTTGGGAACAGTGACCATAATGTTATTGAGTTTAACATTTATATAAATAGGAAGTTGCCCCAAAAGACTGACACAACCACTTTTAACTTTAAAAGGGGTAACTTCTCTGATATGAGGAGATATGTGAGGAAGAAACTGAAAGGAAAAGTAGAAAGGGTCGAAACAATTGGGGAAGCTTGGAGACTATTTAAAACTACAATCCTACAAGCTCAGAATAAATATATACCGCAGATCAGGAAAGGCTCAAATAGGTGTAGAAAAAAGCCTGTATAGTTAACAAACAAAGTAATGGAAGCTATAAAATCTAAGAAGGGTTCCTTTAAGCGGTGCAAAGCTAGTCTCAGTGAGGTTGATAAAAGGGAACACAGACTGTGGCAAATAAAATGCAAGTCTGTGATCAGGCAGGCAGAAAGGGAATATGAGGAGCATATAGCAAAAAACATAAAGATCAACAATAAAACTTTCTTTAAATACATTAGAAGCAGGAAACCAGCCAGGGAGGCAGTGGGGCCCTTGGATGACCAAAGGGTAAAAGGAGTACTGAAGGATGATAGGGAAACGGCTGAGAAGCTGAATGCTTTTTTTTTTTTTTGCCTCATCTTCTGTGGAAGATGAGAAATTCTTGCCCACTCCAGAACCACTGATTTTGGAAGGGGTATTGAAAGACCTGAGTCAGATTGAGGTGACGAGAGAGGAGGTCCTATGACTGATAGACAACTTAAAAACTGATAAATCACCGGGCCCAGATGGCGTACATCCGAGAGTTCTGAAAGAACTCAGATGTGAACTTGTGGATCTCCTGACAAAAATATGTAATCTTTCATTAAAATCAGCCTCCATTCCCAAGGACTGGAAGGTAGCTAATGTCACTGTCATCTTTAAAAAGGGTTCCAGAGGAGATCCGGGAAATTACAGGCCAGTCTGTCTGACATAGATACTGAGTAAATTGGTAGAAACTGTTATTAAGGAAAGAACTAGTAGGCACGTTGATGAACATAAACTATTGAGGCAGACTCAGCATGGGTTCTGTAAAGGAAGATCTTGTCTCACTAACCTGTTAGTGTTTTTGG